CAACGCTTTCTCTTGGGCCTACTTAAGGCTTTTCATCTAAGGTAGCCAACACCATTATTGGACTACTATGGATGCTTTTTAGTGCCCCGTGCTTAGATGTGTATGGCTGACCAAGACAATGTTGATGTGGTTTATTCCTAATGAACGTGTCTTTTATGGGATGTTAAATTTCATATAAGTTATAACTTTAGTTTTAAAGAAAATTTCCGGTCTTCCGGCTTGTCATTACAGGTAGTTTTGCCTGTAGGTGAGGTTATGGACCATTAAACTTTCCCCACATCCACTAATAAGGCTCGGTGCCACATCAAGATAACAGTTAGCCTTTGACTCTGTTGTTGATAGTTTAAACTGTATACAGTAGGTGTCTCAGAATGTTTGACTAGTGTTGTCAATCCATTTGGTCATTATAAATTGGCACAAACCTAATTGGCTACAAATATTATGTGTTATGGCATGGTAAGGTGTTCCTACACTCATTTAATTTTAATGCTGCCTGGCACATTTATCAGGGGGTTGCACTGTTACCATCAGCTGCATTATATTACGGCATCATCTTTTATCAATAATTGCAAGTGTTTAGATTAGGCAGAGGCAATGTTTTTCTACTGCATTTAGCTTGTGATTTTTTTGTACTGTGCCACATGTTAGTATAAATCAGAATAGAACATAAAAAAATCCCTTTTTTGTCCCACAATGGGGAAAATATGAAAAAATGTTGCAGAAAGCTGAAAAAGAAAAAATGCAACATTATTAATAGGTTTTGATAGTTATACGCAGTGCTTAATGTATGTGGTAGATACTGTACACTTGTGAAGTAGAAGCAAAAGAATTGTTCAATTTTTTGGTAAACATAAAAATCTACAAAGTATTCATGCTGTGTTTTTCTATGCAGTATTTGCACTGCTGGTTCAGCTTTCCACATCTATCAGCTAAAATATATTGACATTCTTATTTGCAAACCAGCCATAACTCCTTAAAATCGATCTTTTGTATGTTTGTACTGAAAAATATCTTTTATTTGATGCTTTATGACTGCAACATGATTTGATGCGCAGACTAAAATCTCAGTAGAAGAGCTCTGATGCTTCTTTATGCCTGCAGCCTATATTCCCTGAATGTACTTTGGTCTGGAAGTTCCAAACCGCTGTTCTTTGGATGTGACATCACACACACACTTCCATGTTAAATGAGTCTGGCATTGCAAACAATCAAAGTGTTATGTTTAAGATGGACATTGCGGATACTCTTCTGAGTATCCACAATGTCCATCTTAAACATAACACCTGGCATTCAGCTAAAAGTCAGATACCAATGGCAACTCCATATAAGGTGAAAAACGTTTAAAAATTTTCAAGTGTTTTGCAGATGATTAATTGGTATGAGGCTCAAAAAGAAATGTAATATCCTTGAGATTGCATTTATCTCTTTTGCCGATCTTAACAATTTTGAACTTTCCTGGGATGCTCATCAAAGAGTACTTCAAAAGATAACAATGATCTCAGCTTTTACACTGGCCTTTGATATTGTGTGATAAAGCTTAGAATAACACATGCTTAAATTTTATTAAAAGCAGTTTTCAAGAAACCAGTGTACTGTGAATTTAGTGTATTCATAGATAAAGAAAACATAGGCTATTTTAAATAGTAAAGTAAATTATCCTATATATAAATGTGTAGGTACCTCAATAAATGAAAAACGTTTCTTAACAACCCCACTCTATAAAGCAAAAAAAAAAAAAAAAAAAAAGAATTAGCTTGCACAGCAGGAAAACCTGCAACAGTATACTGATGTGGACAGAAAAAAAGAAGTTTGTCCTTCGATTTGGCCCAAATTTGAAATAAAAAGTAGTATTCACTTTTGTTAGATCTTTATAGACACATTGTGTTTTGTTCATGTTTTTTGTTCAACCAAACTTAAGTACTGACATCTGAGTTTTGTAGAACAATTAATACAAATAAAAGTGCATTTTAATAAGCTTACATTCTAAAAGTGTTCCAAAAAAATCTCATACTTTCCAACAGCTTATATTTATCCTTTCAAGTGTTTTGTTTCAGTTTGGAAGCTATTATTCATTTAGTTTTTTTTTGTTTTTTTTCTTAAAGCAGGATTTTATAGTCAGTTGATACAGCCAAAAGTCACTCACCTTATAAAAGCTAGATATTTTATAAACCATACTTTTCCTTACTAGGACATGACTTTAAACATTGTAACATCAAAAGAAACACATTGCACATTCCTACAAGCATAATTTTGGGAAAAAGGGTGAGTTATATAACCTTTTTAGTCATGTTTTTATTAGTCCTGAGATGCTTTTTTAAAGAAATGACCAATGTGAGCTTGATGTGCTGGTCTCTCTCTCTCTCTCTCCCTCTCTCTCTCTCTATATATATATATATATATATATATATATATATATATATATATATATATATATATATATATATATATATATATATATATATATATATATATATATATATATATATATACACATACAATATAGACCAGCATTGTTTAGCCGCCATGAATTCCCTCCCACTCTTAGGATGGCTCCTGCAACACCAGACGCTGTAGTCCTTCTGTCTACCCATTACCTGTGAGCTTCATCACAAGTCCTATTGAGGCCTACCTCGTTAGCTTCAGGTGCTTTTAGGGATGCACGATATAATCGGCCCCCTATCTGTATCGGCCTGTATCGGCCTTAAAACTGAATATCGGACATCGGCCACCCCACCGATATTTAATCCGACATTTGATCAGCTTCTGAGTTTCTAAAGTCTAAAACAAAAATACTAGTTATTTTTCCTCAAAAACTTCTTTTTTACAGACTTAAAAACTTCTAAAGACGAGGGAAAAAATATTGATGCATTAAAATATCACAATATCTTCATATGCTGATATATTGCCATTTAAAAACACCATATCAATCTCTTTTACAAATGAAATATTGCTATATGTCATCGTTATGCTACGAAATCCCCTGGAAATTCACAAAATTTTGCCATATTTTTATATGTTGATATATTGACACGGTATCTATCTATTTTACTAACAAAATCTCACAAGAATTTGCAAAATATCACGAGAGTTTGTAACAGAACAATGAAATTTCACGAGATTTTGAAAGTAAAATAGATCGATACCGCGTTTTTAAAAATCAATTTGATATCAGCATATGAAAATATATTTGAGTATATTATTATTATATAGTATATTATTTTCAAAGTGTCAGTAATGGATAATAAAACTGCTATTTTCAATGACTACTTATTTTTGTCCAGCTTTAACATCGATATCGGTTATCGGCTACATGAGTTTTAAAATATCGGCATATCGGATATCGGCCAAAATCCCAATATCGTGCATCCCTACTTCAGATGCCATACGGAGGTTGCTGTGTTCCTTTTGAACAGTTGAATTAATCTTTTACTAATGCTCAAATCACTGGTTAGAATCAGTGTTATTGGACATGGCAACTGGCGGGGAAAAAAAGGATGGAATGAGAGCTGGCGAGCACAAGTTCTCCACTTAATGGCCAGGAAGAGTTGAACCTGTTCTTATCACCTTTTAAATTGTGGTCCAACTAATAGTAAACATCTTTTATATCAATTAATCTCTGTTCTGTGGAAGATAAGGCATTTACATACATTTATGAATTCGCGAGCGCAGAGATGATGGAACTGAGCGTGACAACAGTGTGTTGAGAAGAGTTTTTCAGAGTTGAGCACGCCCAAGACCGGTTTTGAACGCGTGCATTTTGTCTCACTGCACGCTCGGCTTGGTTCCTGTGCGCTCAAACCGAAGGCACAAATATCGCTCCATATTTCCAGTGGCCAGGAAAGGCTTAGCATGTAAAAGATGTGTGAGGCTGAGGGCAGCTGCATTGCTGTAGGGTCTGTGAGCCTGTCATAGGAAGAGTTGCTTTTATCCTGTCTTTGGTGCTTCTCGTTTCAGGCCTTTCCAGCAAAAGTAAGAGAGAAAGATGCAGACAGCCTGGTACTGGCTACCTGTGGTCATCTGAAAGTAGAGCAGTAGGCCTTACTTAATTTTGTATAAAAGTTGAAGGATGTGCCCACCTGCCAAAGAGACACATGCAGGTAATCTCCCCGATGTGACTTGACAAGTCATGGGGAAGAGAGGAAGATGTGATGGGGTCCTAGGCTTCTATAGAGAGTCCACAGGGGGTTCAGGATGTTCCTTTGATGCTCCTCTTCTGGCAGTGAAGCAGCAGAGTGGTCCAAGCTCTTAATCTGGAAACCAGTTGTGCATCCAGATCCAAACTATGCTAGGTATTCCATCCATGTAAATATTTATCGCATGGCTGTAAGGCACAACATGGCTAAATATAGCACTTGCTCTGTATATTGCTGATAAGCAGAGCACATGTGCCTGACACTAGAAATACAGTATTCTATTAAATACTGCATACATCCACGCAGTAACTTGTGATTGCAATATTCTACATTGGGATTTGGTCAATAGTGGCATAATACTACCATGAAAAGAAAGGGTTGTCTGGATTGATGAATCGTGTTTTTGTGTCATATTGATTGTTGGGTGCATGTACGTTGCTTAACAGGCAACACTTGGCAAAAGGAGGCAGTTTGGGAAGAATAGAAGCTGGCAGAGGAGATGTGATGCTTTGGGCAATGGTTTGCTCAAAAACTGTCAGTTCTCCAATCTGGATGTTGCACTGAAATGTTCCACCTACGAAAGTATTGTTGAAGCCCACTTCCACTAGTATCTGGGAAAATAAATCACTAAAATAGAAACAAAGTACAAATATTTTCAGAACATACAAAAAAAGTATTGCCTATGACATTTTCCACCTAACCATTTTGGACCATTCTTTCTAACCTATTTATGTCTATTTATGAGAACGTTAAATTTTGCACGATAATCTTGCATTAATGTTTTTTTTTTTCCCCCCACAATCTATTCTTGTTCTTTGATTTTTTTAATAAAATACCACTCTGTTTGTTCTCTTTCTTTTATTTAAGAAACTTAGGTTGCCATGAGTGAGGAGGAGGAGGGCCCTGGTGTTGCAACATCAACAACACAGTCAGCAGCAACAACCTCCAAGGTAACAACAGCAATAGCCAAAAGCAGGGATGTTGTTGTTTCATCCTCGTCCCCCTGCTGGTCCTCTCCTTGTTACCACCTGTATCCTGAGGAAAAAAAGGCAGAAAAGGAGGAGAAAGGGATCATTAAGGAAGAGAGGATCAAGGAAGAAGAAAAGGAGCTGAAGGAAGTGGAGGAGCGTGAAGGTGATGATGAAGAGGAGGATGATGATGACAGCAGCAGCGATACCAGTGTGTTAGTTGTGCCCCATCCTGAGCTGGTGCCTGTGGTCTTCTTCTGTCTGAAACAGACAACCTGCCCCCGCAGCTTGTGCATCCGTATGGTCTGCAGTCCATATCCTTTAAGCTGAATTCCATGAGTAACGATTGTGTGGGATGTCTGTAAAAGTCCTGTCTTTCAATATCCATATTCATGATAACTCACTCTTTTAGTACTTATCTACTTCTCTGTAAGGAGAAGCATTATTTTGTTAGTTCGTGTTTATGATTTTTCCTCAACAGATAAGTTCAAGTCAGCTTCATATTCTTTTTTAATTTGTTTCAAAATTTAGCCACAAGCCTCATATATATCTTTATAAACTTTTATCGGTGGACCAACACAACTAAGAATATAAGTGTGAGGCTAAAAGAAAGGAAAAGAAGATAAATTTATTAATATCTGTTAAGTAACTTTGATAAAGATAACTTCAAGACAACTCCTTTATTAGGAAACCAGCATCATGCCTTGGTCTGGTATATTAAAAACAGCATGCTAAATAGTTCAGCTAGCTTTAAACTGAAGAAGATATTTGAAAAGGAAGCAAAACATTTTTATTTATTACTTTTTTTTTTTTTGGTGCTGTTTGCCATTTTCTGGATTCCTATAGGTCTTTACCAGTATATAAAAAGAAAATCTTAAAAACCTTAAGGGGCATGAACACTTTTGGAAGTCACTGTAATAATCAAAATTTTCAAAACTTTTGCAAGTATTGTATGAAAAACAACTTAAGTATTCAGATTAATTATCATTTAAGATGATGTTTGCAAATTGTTACATCATTTTAGACTTTGGAAGGTTTTTCTTCCAGCCTTGTAGTTACGGTACACACTATCCGTCTATGGAAATACTTTATTGTTCTTGTCTTCTTTGATAGCAAAGACAAGAACACATATTTCATGTTGTTTCGTTTTGTTTGTTTTTTTTTTCCCTTATAAACAGGCTCATATCATAGCTCTGTCTGTGAAAGTAAGGACATGTGTGTCAGATTACAATACATGTAGAACACAGTGTTGTGCTGCCCACTCAGATAAGCACAGAGTGCCTAATAAGAGTCTTAAGAGCAACATTTACAGTGCATTGATGTGTGACTCACAGTTAGAGCTAATGTATGGGCTATCAGTAACAGCACAGTGAAGTGAAGAATGAGAGAGGGAAAGATATAACCAACTGGTTGAGACTCACTGAAGCGGGATGAGACATTTGAAGAAGGGAAACTGCAGAGATGGGCAAAAAAGGAGTGTGAGGCCGTAAAGGTGAGGGGCATAAGAAGACAGACAGTAAGAAACAGACAGTTGAGGGACACAAAGGTTTTCTTTTTTTTCCTATCCATATGAGTTTGTTTCTTTCTGAAAGCCACGATTTCTTTGTGAGAATTAAACAAAATATATAATTTTACTTACAAAATTGCCTAAAGACAGCAAACCCTAAGGCATGATGTTCATACCACTGTGTTGCACTATAGAAACATTGTTTTGTTTCTGTTCTGTTTGGGATTTTTAGCGGTCCTTACTTCTCCTTTAGTGCCATTCACCCTTGGAGTTGTGGCTCAAAACTATTTTCTTGTTTTCAAATTGGAAGGTTTTATTTCTTTTTCATTTTTTTTTGTAACCTTTTGTTGCATTTCTGCTTCTGCAAATTATAGATGTTGCGTCAGTGAGTGATAGTTATTTCCATCTAATAAATTGCAAACAACTGTTAATGTAAAATTACATATGTGCATAATTAGAATGAAATACAATACAATATAATACTTGTGGCACTTTTATTAATGATTCTTGCAAAAATTAGATTTTACATAGAAACCATCTGACCAGTGGTCTACCTCTATTTCTTTGATTAAACAGCTCAACTGAAGATCTTACAAGAAATAAATGTGCTCTTTATCACTCTAACAGTGTATTCAAAGCCATTTAGGTTAAAAAAAAAAGTGTAATCTCAGTACCAAAGCAATGTCTGGATAGATCATTTAAACACTTTAATTTCACAGTGAATCCATTGGTACACACTTAATCATACAATTGATCGCCTAATTAGTGTAGGATTTGTTAACAGCCTTAGTCCGAGCAAGGTAGAACTAATATCAGAATTAGCCGTATTTAACAAGTTTGTGCTTTTTTAATTGTATTTTCACTTTGCAGAGTCCTTAAATGTCTTTTGATTCAGTAAATCTGTTCCTATGCAGAGTGAGAACAGTCTGCTGCACAGCACATGTATTGCATGTCAATCTTACCACAATGAATAGGTGGAAATATGCATTGAAGAAAGCTTGTGTGAGTGCAAAAGGGTTGTGGTAAAAAGTATGTGTCTATCTTACTTTCCCAACATAAAAGGACTAATATTGACAGGGCCCACTTTCTTGCCTTGTGCGATCAGATTGAGCAGTGTGCAGAATTGATCTCTTTGTGAGAAAATACACACGGAGGACTTCTGTGCATGTATGTTTTGAGTCACACCAACTTTTATTCATTATTGAAAAGTGTAATACTGTGTAGTGCTTTGAAAAATTCTGTTGTTTATTTTCAGTTTATAAAACAAGAAAAACACTGGATAAAATCATCCCTAAAGTGAGATTTTTCTTTGATTAAATTGAGCTTATTTCTGTTAGAATATCCTTAATATAATTTTAACTCTTTATTTTAACCTCAGATTAGAGCCGAAACAATTAATTGGATTAGCTGATTATTGAAAAAATCGTTACCTGGAGTATAGAGACTGTAAAATATGCCTTTAGCTGACGGAGCATTTTTTATATCAAAATTGTAAAAAGAATATATTAAAAAAATTGCATTTAAGCTTAAAAAAATAATTTGTCAATATGCTCTATGCAGAACTCCTTCAGTGGAAAAGTTTGAGTTTAGCCTGGTTTATTTTCCTAAAAAGTATTCTTTAAGGAACCTTTGGCTATCTGATTGATAATTGATTAATTGAAAAAATATTTACCACATTAAATTGTAAATTGGTAAATTGATTTATTCAACTATTGAAACGCTGATGGTGGCGAGCTACAGCTATGTGCAGCTATAGCTTCCCTGGGACAGGAGCGAGGCTGCCATATGCAAATATCGTGGAGCATTCCCATCACCATCAGTTGCCAATTCGGCTAAAGATTCCTTATTTATTCCCTACTGTAAAATAGGTCCATCAATATGATTTGTATGTCTGTATGATAAAAAACTTTCAGGGCTCCACTTTTTAATTTAGGTCTGGGCTTTGGCTTGAATTTCCTAAGAAATTAAAACTATTTAATTTATTATCTGAGCCCTTGCATGGCAGCTGAGGTTCCTTAGGTTATTTTAGGTTCCTCGCCCTGTTGTCCATATTTCCTTTAAAAACTGTTTTCTTATCCCGGCAGATAAAAAAAAGTATCTCTACAACATGATGATCACCAAGTTTCACAATCAGGATGCAGTTGTTTTTTCTCCATGCAGCGTTTGGCTTGTAAGGTGCTTAGTTCTGCTTGTCTACACAAAGTATTTTAACATCCTAAATAAATATTAAGTTGTTGGTAATCCACTATGTAAAAACCTGATATTGCATTGGAAAGGGAATTACTGGTTCATTAAAAAACACTTGAGTTTACAACAGAAATATATGTATTCCACAGTAATAACTAAAACTCCTTCTCCCTCTCTAGCTTTTAAGTAAACTTTAGCTCCATCTTACTATGGAAGGTTCGTGCAGATTTTCAGCAACAGCATGCTGCATAAAGTTAAATGGAATCTTTTAATAGATTATTCTAAATGTAATAAATATGCTCCTAATAGATAGGTTGCTTAAAATAAAATCACTTTAAATAAAGCTTTAATCACATTTAACAAATGAAATACTTTCATAAACAATTTCATGTTTTATTACATTTTATAAAATAAGTTTGAGATATTTGAGAAACCAGACATTGATTAGAATCTGTACATATTTGGGTAAATAGACTTGAAAATATATAAAAGCCACATGTCCTTCGTATTCTACACATTCCAAAGTTTAATGTAACAGATTAATTTTCTTTGGTAAAATATGTAAAATACTGTGGGATATTGATAATTATTTTATTATAGATTTTCTATGTAGGGCCTTTTTAAACATGTCTAACACAACTTATTTGGCTTATTCTACCTAAATTTTACAGTCTAGAATTTTAAGAAGAAATCATTGCAGACACTTTTGCTCTCTGTATGAAAGTTCTGTTTCTTTGTTCTAAAAGTATATTCCCATACTGACTTGAAATTTACATCAGAAATTAAATATCAAAAACTCTATGTCATGCTGGATTTATTTTCCTACATCCTACATCGTAAACCAGAGTCATTTCTTCAGGGACTCTTGTCACTTTCCCATTTCTCAGTGACTCTACTGTTTTTGAGCTAAGGCTGCGTGTAGAGCTTGGCATGAGCTGTGACTATAATATTAAGCAGCTCACAGACAAGTGCACAGTCCACTTCACTCTCATAGTGAAGGAATTATGAGAGCAGAGTGGGACAAAAAAGTTAATAGAGGTCATTTTTAGACATGTAAAAAGCTGCTCTCCAAATCTTAATCTGTACTTATGAATGCAGAGAAAATGGGTTGATTTTTGAGAGAGAGTGAAGAAAAAGAGAGGGAAAAAAAAACATTAAGATGAGTTTATAAAGTCAAATCAGATTCTGCTCTAAAACATATTGTTAGGGAGGGAGCGGAAGATGAATAGATTTCAAATTTCTGTTGTCTCAACACATGTGGTCTTCCCTGCCTCTAGCATCACTGCACTCTACCTCTCAAGATCTCTCACATTCATAAATGTCTACTGATTTATAGCCACACTATTTAATTCAAATATTGTGTATTGTCTGCCTGAATGTTTTGCAAAGCTGCATTTTTTCTAAATCTGTAAAATATAGCTTAAGAGACCAGAAAGCTCATACATGTCTCAAGTTGGGGTAACATACGTAGGATTGTTGTAGGCTGATACTTCCCTTATCATTATGCTACAACAACGTATATTGTAACTATAATTATGCAGTTGATTTTATGACTTAGATATGATGTTTGACTGGCCAAAAGCTTTAAAGCTGTTCAGTAACCAGTTGTATTCACTGCAG